GGGGGCAGTGTGTGTGTGGTGGGACGGTGGCCGGGGGGCGGGGCCGTGGAAGCAGCGAGGATTTCGTCCTGGTCCAGACACTGTTTCACTGACTCTACCTGAATCTAACCTGTCTAACAATTCCAGTCTTGGTCTTGGACATTTGGCTGTGGCACCTGGAGAACAACAAATTCGAACCTGGCTACGTGTCCACGTTCCTTCTAGAGCACATGAGACACCCCCCGAGGCACCGCAGCCAGGGTGAGTCTCCTCCCTGCATCCAGATTCACTTAACTCGCCTCACAGTTGTGAGCAAAGTAGATGAGCGCCTGTGAACAGGGTGATAATAACACCCTGAAAAGATGAACTAATTAATAATTGTAATAATGAGAGGGCAGGTGTAAGAATACCTGTGTTTATTTAGTACCTGTCATTTGAGGAATATGGGGTGAGCCATTGATGTCCCCTCGTGAACTCTCCTGACACTTTTCTAAGGGAGAAAAGGGCAGAGGTCAGTTACAAAAAAGCCCGTTTGGAGGAAGGTTTATCATGGAGGAATTAGTGTAGAAGGGGGAGCTCTGAAAAATATGATGACTTTGGACATCAAAGGTGAGCAGGCATTCCTGGGAAGGAAAAGCCCAGTCTGCCTTTTCTCTCCTGGGTCTGTGCTCAGCCCTGCATACTGCTCTGGGCTCCCACATTACTGTGCCTTTTTTCTATTCACTACTTCTGCTCTTTTGTAATTAGCCCAGCCCCTAGCTTTCAAAAGTGTGTCCTTATGAATATTAATAAGTATTTTTTTAAAAGGAGTACATTTTCATAACATTGGGGCAATCACAATCAAATAGGTTTCTTTAACTTTAGGACTTTACTGTGCTCGTTGCATAGTGACTGTCCTATAGGAGTATATGCTAGTTTGAACCGTTTGAAATAATCATTTTTGGAGGTTAAAATCAATTGAATGTTGGGAGTTTCATAGGGTCCAGTCTCATACTATGCAGGACTTCCAACCTTGCTTGACTACAGAGCTCTGCTGAAGAAAATTCTGTTGCACTGGCACTATCTGCAGAACTCACTGTCTTAAATACTTAAATACAGACTGTTAGGTGCTTGATTCATGCATGTAGCTTGCAGCCCGCGATGTTCATATGCAACAGGATAATGGGAGGCAGGCAGATGAAGGAATTCTGCCACATCATGGGGCTGAGATTCCAGGTAGCGTGGCCCAATATGGCATTTGCCAACTGAGTAAAAGTATAGAGATGTACATTACAATACAGAGTTAAGTAGTTACAGTATTAACATACAAGGAATTTTTTTAGTGTAAAGTTGCTTAAAAACCTTTTTAGTACACCTAGGTTCAATGGAAAAAGCAAAATATGAAAGGATACATACTCTGTTAGTAACTATGTAAAAATTATTTACAGTTGGCTTTGAAAAGGACAAACACAAAAAGAAAAGAGTAATTTCCTTTTTACAAAATTTCCTTAGATGTTATTATATTGCCTCACAGTGGGAAAAAGAAAATACAAGTTGCTCCTTAAGCTTTGAGTCTATACCAGAATATCCTCTGGGAAAATCCAAGTATACCCCCTCCTCATTCTTTGCAGGTGGGATAATAGTATCAAGCAGCAGATGACCTCCCAGCCAGGACTTTGGTAAATTATGCTCCTCTGGCCACCTTCTTGAGCTGGGTGGGGTCAAATACCTAAGAGATTGATAAAGCATTATCTCTTGACCTGTCCCACTATCTGCCCATCCAGATGAAAGACCAGCCACCCACTTAGATCCCAAAATCTACAGGCATTTCCAGACACCAGCGAATATTTTCTAAAGTCTGTGTTTAAGTTGGTTATGTAAATTTTAATTAGCTATGTGAACATGATCCTCTAGCAACACTACTTATAAATGATGATGATTTTCAGCAAGGCCTCAAAAAACCTGTTCAACCCCAATATTTGAGAAATAGTGTACGTTTATGGTGGGAAAGGAAAGTAGCAGAAGACATTGCTGTCATAAGCACACAATGACGGCTGAGAATGGACTACGTAGACTTTTGTGGGCTAACTTGGAAATCTAGCTCTCATTTATAAAGCTGTGTCCATGGGAAAGTGTCTTTCTAGTCTCACTGAAGATCTTGTCCCCATATCCGCTCAGCAGCGAGAGCGAGAGGGTCAGGCTGTCATTTTCAGGGAATTCTTCAGGTAGAACCTGGCCTGCAGGAGAGACTCCCAGGCCAGCAGCTTTGTGGAGCTGCTACTGCCCCCTGCAGGGCTTGGTGGGGAATCCCTCCGGGGTCCTGCTTTCTCTTTACCAAGGAGCAGGGAGAGGGAAAATCAGGAGAGTGTAGTGTCATGGAAACCAGGAGAAGAAAGTGTTTCAAGAAGGTGGTAGTGAGACATCTGTGTTGAACACTATTGTGAAAATAAGAATAGAGAAGTCAGCATTAGATTTGACATTGACAGCAGCAGTATCAGCATAGTGGGGACAAAATCCAACTAGGGTAAATAGAGGAAAAGAATCATAGCAGAAGAATACATGGTGTACAATAAGTGTCTGCTAAGCCCTTTATGTATTAACTCACATAATTTTTATACTCTTATGATGTAAATGCTAAGATCATCCCCATTGTACAGATGAGGACACTGGATAAAAGTCACAGAGCTGAGCCTCCACCCAGGCAGCGTGTGCTGGGAACCCCATCACTCTCCCTCTACCACACCGCACCTGTACGAGCAGAACTCCAAACAGCTCTGTCAACAAGTTTGCTGAGAAAGGAAAAGAGCGATGGGGAGGGGGCAGGAGAGCTTGAGGCACTGAGAGAGGGTTGTTCTTTTTAGATAGAAAACCTTGACATATAGGCTGCATGCTAATGAGCATAACAGAGCAGCAGAGAGAGACTGAGGGCGCTGGCGGGGGGAGGTGGGCTGAGAGGGACCCAGGGCGCAGAGGGGTTGCCCTTGGATAGGAGCAAGGCTCGTCCTCTGGTACCGGGAAGGGAGGCAGAGAAAAAGGGCACAGATGACTGTAGCGCATCGTTCTGAAAGTGAAAAGACAGGAGGACCCCCCTCTGCAGACTCCTAATTTTTCTGTAAAGGATAAAGCAAGATAATCCTCTGAGACTGAAGAGAAGAGAGGTGTGAAACAGCCCATAGGAAGCTGAAAAAGACCATTCAAGTCCCCTAAATTTATGGATGCTGTCTCTATTTCTGCAATATTTCATGGTTTTTATTCTCTGAAATTTTTCACTCTAAATCTACAGAAAAAGAGGGAAAGGGCCTGCCGTCACTGCCGTGCTGGGAGCAGGAGGAAGGCGTTTGGAAGTCATGTGCGAGCAAATCTGAAACATTCCAGGCAGATGGTTTGGGATCAGGGAAAGCTAATATAAAGAGAAATACAGCCTGGATTTCTTACCTGTAGGAACTTCATGTTTTTCCCTTTGTTTTCATCAAGGCCCATCTGTTCCCTCTTTAGCACATTTCTTGAGAAATGTGGAATGATAAATGATCCCAGGTGAAACTTTTCTCTGTATGGATTAAATCCGTGTGCTTCCCCTGAGGAGTCAAGGAGCCTGGAGAGCTCTCTCGTGCAGTTGACTGAACCCCCCCTTCCTGTGGCGGGGGCCGGGGGGGGGAATGGGGGGGGCGGGGCAAGGGAGTGGGGAGCTGTTTCTGATTCAGTGGATTGGAGGGTGGGCCTGTTGATTTGCATTTCTAACAGGCTCAGTGATGCTCCAGCTGCTGGTCAGGAAGCTGCACTTTGAGGGGTCTTTTTGGGGTTTTTTTGTTTTCTGTTTTCTGTTTCAACTCACTTTACTTTGGTTTGCATGAACCCAAAGCACTTGGAGTTTTGAGTGAGTGTTGTCCCCTCAGTCAGCCAAAAACTTCCCCAGCTCTCACAGAACAAGCACTAGAGAAGTCCACTGAGATCCCAGAATTCGGACATGCAGGCCCCTTAAACCCAGCTGCTCCTACTGGACCTGTCATTCCTCTCCCTCCCACCAGGTCACTTTGTTATTCTGTTAACACAGTGGAAGGGAATAATTGAATAAGGATAACTAATACATAAAGGCAAACTATGTATGTATGAGCTACTGCTCTGAACTCTTTACGTGTATTAACTCATTTAGCCTTCACAGCAACTTGTGAGGTAGGTACTATTATCAACTGCAATTTACTGAGAGGAAATGAAGACACAGATTAAGTGACTTCCTTGAGGTTAGGCATCTAGGAAGTGGAGAGCCGGGATATGAACACAGGCCACACTAACTCCAGCATCCACATTATTCCTGTTTCTTCATACAGTGTCAAAGGTAAAGGTGGATGAAGTTTTGGTCTCTCAGATTTAGGGATCCTTAATGTTTGGGTAAATCATGATCAGCTGGGGTCACTGGGCAAGGTAATATCATCGAAAGAGCTCTATTCTACCCATTTTTAATTGGATAACTCTTGAGCCAGTTGCACAATTTATTTTTATTATCCCAGTGGTGAGTATGTATGCTGACTTTCTGAATTTTTAAGCTCTGGAGATATGTAATTTTCACTGAGTTTCAGTTACTTCTTACTCCTTCACTCACTCATCTGAGCAGCTACCTGAAACAACAGACGGGTTGATAGCTCAGGGGCTCAGCCCCTCCTTAGCCCTGGCAGTCACTGTCCCCAGAGGAAGCAAGCTTTGTCAGTGATGAATGAGATGGGTCGTGCTTTAAGTGGCAGGAGATGAAGCAGAGCTGATTAGAAAGATAATTTTCTCATAAAAGTCAGTTCAAGATCTAGGTAGGAACTTGTTGGTTCCTGCCTTTGGCCGGCTGGAGCAAGTCGTCTTGCTGCTCAACATTTGCATCTCTGAAATGGGGATAATTAGGAGCATGAGGCAGTTTGGGTAATTAACTATTACCCAGTGCTTGGTCATAGCTCCATAGCTCCTGCGGCCCCTGAAGATTGTGCCCTGTGATGTCAGCAAGGCCTCATTGGAAAGATGTAGACACTGAGCTCATACACGCAAGGACCTGGCAGACTCACCTCGCCAGCGGTAATGCGCCGCCGGCAGAGCCAGCCTTCTGTTCTAACCCCAGCATCGTCAGGTCTAGAGGAGTGTCTCAGAGGCACACACAACAGAAGGTGGGGTGGGCTTGATATTTTTCAAAACAAGAACCTGGACAGCTCTATGAATATTCTCCAGGGAGTTGCCAGAGTTAACTGCCTTTAAGGGACCCAGTGGCACTTTATCCAAAGCATGTCCTTTCTAAAACACCTGTTTCAGAGGCAGCACAGCCCGTGGAGTCATGGAGTTGAAGCCAAAGTCCTATGGAGAACCGGCTACAAATCAGGCCTGGTAGGGGGAGCTGCACATAAAGACTCCAGCAATAGCTCTCAGGATGTGCCAAGCACATAATTGCCTCAGCTCATTCACAAGACCCTAGGAGTCAGGTTCCATTATCAACCCCATCTTACAGACAGGGAGGTTGAGGCTTAGAGGTTGAGTTTTCAAGGTGACATGAGGATCTGAACCCAGACCGTCTGGTTCCGGATCCCAGATATACAGCCCTGGGCTTCACTGTCTGCCTACAACAAGGGACATGACGGAGGCAAGCCCCTCCCAACCCCACTGAGGGAACCAGGCACCAGAAACAGATATTCATCAACGTGGCTGGCTGCAAGCATAAAAGGAGCAATTAATGGCAACTAGAAAGATCCAGGAACTTCAAAGCGGAAATGTCATTCAGGCTGAATGATGAAAGAAAGGAGTAGCATCACAGAAGGTGAAGATGGGGAAAGGGAACCACGCTCAGAAGATAGTGTACTCCTGAGAGGAACAGCAACACAGGTGCCGCATGTTTCAGTGTTTCTTCCCATGTGCAATTTATCTCATTTCCCACCTTTCTGTCCTGTTCGTGGAAATGGCCTCCAAAGGCCTGGAAGCCTCAGATTTTCTATGTTCAGAGTCTGAAAGTTGGGCCCATCTTCCTATATCTCAATGGGGTTTCAAGTGTCAACATGGCCTGTGCTGAGACCTCCCTTTTACTTGGTTGCCAAGCATCCTTTACTCTGGCCATCAAAGTCAGGCATGTCTTATCCAGGCACTAGCTTGAAAACTTGGGGCAACGGGAATCAAGATTCCTAAAAGAGCACAGCTCCCCAAGCCTCCCTGGTTCTAGCCTTCCTCATTCTCTGTTTCATCCTCCTTTCTCTGGTAAAAGGGTTCCTGCTCCTTCCCCACCGTGTGGCTTTCTTCCTTTGACATGTTTTCATCAATCCCATTGTCACAGATGTTTTCTCCCAATTTTAAATGCTCCAAAGAGCTCTTTTCAGACAGGAAAGCCAGAGTGGGACAGATGAAGAATCCACGGAAAACGAAGGGAGGAAGGAAGGCAGGCGTGGGGGATGGGAGGAAGGAACGATGGCAGAATAGCAATTTGAAATCCATGCCAGCTGGGCCTCAGTTCTGCTTCGGCTTTTACCTCTGCTTTCTGGAAGGAAAGCTACCAGCTGTTTTAGTTCTTTGCTGACTGTGTGCACTCACTGCAACTATGAGCCCTCCTTCAGCCTAGGCTTAGAGGATCTTTAATGCTTCTTGACCTCATTTGGGTGCAGAGGCTACTTTGTAGCATGTCTTCCTCACTTTCTGGGCACAGCTACAGGAGTTCTGTGTACATGCTGCATAGGCCATAGGTTTGTCTGAATTGGATCTCCCCATCAGCACCAGATCGACCGGGCCTGTATGATACCCCCACCAGCCCTGCGAGCTCCATGAAACTCTGCTCCATTGAGGTCCGTGAGACCGTTTTTGATCTCTTCCCACTTCTTCCACCATTTACTCTCAGCTCTTTCTTTGACTCTGTTTCATCTGCCTGCCATTAAATGTGGGTGTTCTCCAGTTTCCCATCCCAGGCCCTTCTCTTTTCCTTAGAAGACACCGAGGTGCTTGTCTCTCAGATCGGTATCTTCAGGCCAGGCCTCTCCCAGTTTCATCCTCAAGCCTTCCAATGCCTGCTGAGCCTCTCCACCGGGAGGTCTCAGGGGAACCTCAAAGTCAACATGTGCCAAAGTTAACTCTCATCTCTTCCTTCTTCTCCAACTCACTCTGTCCAATCCAGAAATATGGGGGTCTTCCAGGTTCCACCCTATGCCTCATCCTCTGACCCGCCCCTCTATTCATTTATCAAATATCACCAACTTTAAGTCCTAAGTGTTTCTTAAATGGGTTGTCTCCCTTTGTATCCCTGCTATCATTTTCACCTTCAGGTCCTTATCATTCCTTCTATTTCCAACAGCAGCTGTTCTCCTTGCCCCCTGGCTCCCTGTCCTCATAGCCGTCCTCCATGCTGCCTTGGGAGTGTCTCACCAAAGATGAAACCCAGCAGAGTTCCCCTGCCTGAGAGCCTTCGGTGGTTCCTCATCATCCGTAAGTCTGGTCAATAAGGACCAGCATTGCCTGGCTTGGCTTCTTCAGCCTCATTTCATCTCCCCCTGCCTGAAACTTCATGCTCTGTTGATGACAGAGTAGCTTGTAGTTTTCCAACACCCTGCAGTAGTTTATGAGTTTTATTCTCCTATCCTATCCTATCCTATCCTATCCTATCCAATTCTAACCTATTCTATCCCATTCCTTTGCTGAGGGTGTCCTTCCCACTCTTCTTTACCTGGATCAGGCCAACTCATCCTTCAAGACTTAGTATTCCCTCCCCCCGCCCACCCTGCCAAAAGACTTAGTCCAGATATCACCTAGCTCAGGAAATCTTCTCCAAAGCCTCAAGTTAGGGAAGTGCATCCTGCCCTGACTGTCTTATGATTCATGAACAGTGTTACGGACTTACCTGTTTGATAGCCTTTCTCCCCGTTAACCTATAATCTTATCAGTGTCTTAGTCATCTTTGCCATAGTACCCAGTGCACTGCCCGGCACACAGTAAGTGCTCAATTAATGTCGTTGACCAGACCATAACCCTTTCAGGGCAGGGATCATGACTTTTCCACCCTTCGACTCCTAGCCAACACTCAACAAATGTTCTTTGGGTGAGGGCTGTGCCCACTGACTGCCATGATGGGAAAGGGGAGAAGAGTTTTGACCACGCAGCTGGTAAAGGTACCACGAAAGCCAGACACGGTAGAAACTGCACTCCAGCCTTCCATCCTTGAGTGGCATGCATTTAAGCATGAGATTTGAAGGTTGTAAACTCTCTAGTAATTACTTAGGAGAATAACCCACTGGGTCCACAGAGCACGGCAGGCCCTCTCACAAGCTCTTCTACTCCACTGATGGCTACAATCACCTCAACTAAAGTATTATTATAAATTGAGGAAATTATGGCAAGGACAGAGGGCTTGTTAAGGCCAAGTGTAGACACTAGGTCCCCCCAGGTGGGCTCCACCTGCTTCCCTGGCCCATGTTTTCCAGACCCTGCTTCCCAGCAAGCCTGCCCATTGACTCTCTTCCTGGGGCCTCTTTGCACAAAGGATCTGCTGCCCTCGTGGCTTATCAGTGCCTTGGCATCTGTAGAGCTTGAAGCGCTAATCTGGGGCCAACAACAGGAGCCTCTGTTGATTCCAATGGGTCTCTAAAGGGTAGGGGATCCACATTTTGAACACCCACCTCCTGCTAATCCTCCTGCCAAACCAGTCAGGCTGGTTGCAATGTATCATTAGAAGCCCACATATCGGCCCTTGGGACAACAGAGCCTCTTGTTGCACAGGGAGTGTTTCACATCTCTGGGACCGGGGTATGGAGGAGGGGTCTGGAGGAGCTGGGGTGGGCAGGGGGTGGGCCGAGCAGGGCGCCAGGGAATGAGCGTGGGTTTCAGAGTTAGGTAGAGCAGATGTGAAGCTGCCCTGCCTCTTACAGGCTGTGTGGCCTTGAGCACATGACTTAACTTCTCTGAGGTGACAATTAACCCTCACAGGCTATTGTGAGGATTAAAGGAGGCTACTATAAAGCTCTTAGCCCAGGGCAGGGAGAGAGAAGGTGCTGGCAAAACACCAGTTCCACTGACGTAGATGTTTTTTGGGACATTCTTGCAAGGTAGAAGAGTCCAAATGAAAGCCTCCCCCGCCTACATCCCCCCCGCCCCCACCCACCACGCACCTGCTGCTCTTCTAGTGAGCGGAGTGTCCTTGCAGAGCACAGGGAGCAAGGGCTGCCTGGCAGCCCTGCATATCCCGCAGCCCCCCAGCATCTGCTGCAGGCCTGGCCTCTCCAGGTGGACCCGGGGAGGGAGCTGACCTTTTGTTTTAGGCTGCCGTTTCTAGGCTACCTCTGGGAAGTAATGTTCTCCCAGTCTCTTCACAGACTTTTTCACAAAAAACTCAGTCTTCCTACACACTGTCAGGAGTTGTGATGACACTGAATCACCAACCATTTCAGGAAAACCCTTCCTTCTTTTTCCACCTCTTTCCTTCCAGAAAGGTAATTGATGTCCCGAGGGAAAATGAGACAGTTATAGGAAACTCAGTAAGAGGAGCAATAGGTGGGGATGGGACTTCTTCATCTCCGGGGAGTGGGGCTGGTCCCAGGGACCCTCTCCTGTCAGCATGGAGCTCTTCATCTCTCAGCTCTGCTGACCTACTCACAGAACAGCATTTTACACAGCCCACTCCTGTGGTTTCTTATCTGCCTCTTCCTAACCCCATCCCAGCCCCAGGGTGGGTTGACTCTGGCCTCCTGCAAAGGTCTGTCTTAGCCGCCGCCGCCGCAGCAGCAGCAGCAGCAGCAGCAGCAGGAGGCTCCTTCTCCAAGGAGCCCCCAGGAAGCCTAGAGACCCCATCATGGAGCTGGGGAGTGAGGAAGGGTGTTAGAGTGACTTACTCAGCAGTACAGAGACTTGGCACCCACAAAGAAGCGTCAAAGCATACATAGCCCCCTCCTTCATCCTGGGGCTATTTAGAGGGTGCCCCCTGCATCCTACCCATCCTCAGCCTTTGATTCCCTTCCTTCCTACCAAGCATCCATGCCATCCTGCTCTGGGCCCCCACAAGAGCCTTGAAGTCTGACTGGAGCCCCCAGGCAGGCACACACACTCCTCCATCCAGAGCTGTCCCAGCAGGTGTCAGCCCTCCACAGCAGAAAGCCAACCTGACCCTGAACAGGTGCCCCAAGTGGCTGGGGTGTGATGTTAAGTCAAGTTCAGTTAGGTTCTTGTCCAGCCAGGCTTCTGCCGGCCCAATGCTGGATCAGATAAGGGTCCGGGTGAGGTGCTCTGGGCCAGCCCAGCAGTCTCGGCAACCCCCACCAAAACCCGCCCCTCTGCCCTTCACCTGGAAGGAGAGAAGTGTGCGCTACCTCCAGAAGATGATCTGCCCCAGGGACGCCATGGCGAGGGGAGGGTCTCTTCCCACGTGCTCCGGGCGCCGGTGAGCAGCACGGCCTCTGCCCTCCCAGGGCTGTGACTCACAGCTGGCTCTGGGGTGTGCCGGGCTTAAATAATGAGCGCGGCCGGGAGTGGTGCGTGCGCCTGAGGACGGCTCAGGTATGAGGAAACGGCCTGGCCGGCCGTGCAGACGTCCCTGCAGGCACGCAGGCGGCCTGCTCCCAGCCAGCCAGAGGCCAGGCACGCAGCGCCGCCTTTCCAGGCCTTGACCTGGTGAGAGAGTGACACAGAAAAGCTTCCCAGGCCCCCTGCTTCAGGGCTGGTATTCAGCACACATCTGATCTCCTGATTCAGGGGAAGGGGGCGCCAGGGATGGAGATTCCCTCTCCAAATAGGAAAGGACTGGGACGGCTCAAAGTATCAGGGCTATGCCAAGGAGCTGGGAGGCTGGGCGTCCCCTTGCCGGCTGGCTGCTGCTGCTCAGAGGTCAGCACGCTGGGGTCTCTCGTGGAGGAGAGTCATGCTGAGGGGCCCCAGAAAGGTTGTGGGTCAAAGCAACAAGAGTGCTGAGTTGGTCACTCGAGACTGCCCTCGCCTCAGGCACTGGGAGTGCCCAGCTGGGTGAGCACATCTCCTGTTTCATTTCAGTGACGGGGGAGAGAGCCTGCCCTGCCCCCTTCACGGTTATTTTGAGACTCCACAAACACACTGAATGTGCATTCCATAGGCTATTGCTGTCGGGCGGGTGGGTTAGAGAGAGAAGCTCATCTGTGACCTTTCACCCAGCGCTCAGATTCCCAGCAGGACAGGACGCAGAAAGCTCGCTCTCCTCGCGTGGTCTCCTCTACCCCCTCCATAGCCAGGAGGAGGACCCTGGATAGCAAACCCGCTGAGGGGCTGACTGGTTCACAGGATGCCGGCTGAGCAACCGCGTATTTTGGGGTGAAGGATTAAGGTGGGAGGATTCCAGGGTGGGCACACTCGCTGCTGGAGTAAGCATGGCGCACACACAGCTGGGAAAGGACAGGCCGGGAGGACTGGGCACTGGGAGAAGACAGCAGAGGAGAGGGTAATTCAACGGTGGAAAGAGCTTTAGTCAGCCAGAGCCAGGTCCGAGTCCTGGGTTCTTCACCCATCGCATGACTGTGGGGGAAGTACGGCATCTCTTCCCGAGTTGGACTGAGGAGTAGGTGACGGGGTCCATGTGCCTTCCCTCTCCCCAGAGTAAGTAAAGTGGTGGTACCCGGGACCTACGAAGTGCCTGTGCTAACTGGATCCTCCCCAGTCTGGGTGGCTGGGGAAATGAGAGCAGCGATTTCAGTAATTTCTATACAGGTTGACCCCACCCTGCAGACCCAGGGTTTCTGCCCATCTCCTCAGTGAGCCTTAGAAAGAGCAGCCCCTCCTCAGAGGCCCCAGAACAGAGTCACTGAGTCTCCTCCATTTATCCATCATCATTAGGGATGGGATAAGGGGGCCCCTGGGGTATATAAAACAAGACAATCCACCAAGACGCCCTTGAGTGAGAGATAAAGTGACCAATGGGCAGCTTCTGTCAGGAGGAAGGCGGGAGGAGCCCATCCACCAGGAAGGCAGGCACTATCAGGCAGGGGCATGGAGCTACCGCTGGAGAAGGAGGGAGACATTGCTTTGCTTTTGACTGCAAAGTCCAAAGATCAGTGAACATGAAATAATGGGGAAAATTCATTGCAAAGGAACAACTAAAATTGCAAAATGGTAGAATAACATGAACGCGCGCGTGTGTATGCATGCATGCATGTGTCTGTGTAGAGAGGGGGAGAGAGGAAAGAGAGAGATTTTGAAACATTGACCTCTCTAGGATTTAAGAACCTCCCTTTTTTTCCTTTTCTTTTTATTGTTTATGCAGTTACAATTGTTCCTGTTTTTCTTCCCTTTCCCCACCTCCTCCCAGCCCCATCCTCTCCCCTCCCTAAGTAAATCCCTGTTTTGTTGTCTGTGTCCATGGGTTGTGCACAAATGTTCTTTGGTGAATCCCTTCACTATCTTTCATCCAGTCCCCCTCCCCTGAGAGCCTCTTTTGACATTTTCTTCTCTGAAAAATGCCTAGTGCTCCCTGCTCTGACCTGTGCCCGACTGTCTTCTTTCACCTCTCCCGCAAAGGATGGTGTCCTCTGTCATTCTGCCATCCTCCTTCTCACAGCTCTCACATCTCTGGCAGCCTCGCCCACTCCTCTGCCTCAACTGCCTGTATGTCTGAAGATCTCGATGTCCCCAGGCTGTACCTCCTGACTGAGCCCTGCCCCACACGTCCAGCTGCTTAGTGGGCATCTCCATGTGCCGTCCTACAGGGACCCAGAACTGAACGTGTCTGAGCTGGAACGTGTCATTTTTCATGTGTGACCACCACCACCCTGGCCCCCACCTGCTCTCCCTTGGCTAACCAGCCTTCTTGGAGAACGGCTGCATCCAATGCCAGATTGCCCGAGTCGGAAAACTGAACCTCACCCTCTACTCTCTCTTCCTCATGCTCCCCAAGTCTCCTGATTCTTCCTCCTTGTATTATTTGCTCTGATTCCCATAACAGAGTACCACAGACTGGGTATCTTAAACAACAGAAACTTGTTTCCTCACAATTCTGGAGGCTGGAAGTCCAAGATCACAGCATCAGCAGGGACAGTTTCTTCTGAGGCCTCTCTCCTTGGCTTGTAGACAGTTATCTTTCCCTAGTGTTGTCACATGGTCTTCCTTCTGTATATCCCTGTGTCCATATTTTATAAGCAAAGCAGTCGTATAGGATTAGAGCCCACCCTACCCACCTTCAGCATAATCACCTCTTTAAAGACTGTCTCCAAATACAATCGCATTCTGAGGTAATGGGAGTTAGGACTGCAAACATAACATTTTTTCCAGAGGAGGGCACTATTCACCCCGTTATGCCTTCCAAAGTCACCTCCTTTATCTGTCTATCCCCAATAATATCACCTCAATTCAATATCTCATTATTTCCCATTTGAAGTGAATTATTAAACAGTCTCCTCTTTCATTGTCCTGCTCCCAGTCTGCCCTATGTGTGCCAGTCTGCTCACTGCTGCTGGAATGACCTTTCTAAAATGCAAATCTGACCAGACCACTTCCCAGGGTAAAGTGACCCTGGTTCTCCAGTGCCTGTAGTCTGGCCTCTGCCTACCTCTCCAGATTTTGCTTTCATGCCCGACCCCCCGCCCCCATCGCCGCTCATTGGCATACCAGGCATGCCAAGCTGCTTTGGGTTTCTTGAAAATGTCATGCTCTCCTAAGCCACTCTGCCATTGTCCATGTTGCTCAGCCTGCCTGAATCCATCACTCACCTTTCTCTTGCTTTATGTAAATTCTATGGGAAACTTTTCGCCATCACTTCAATCTGACAGGTGCCATACTCTCAGCTCCCGTGTGAAACTCATGCCCACTTCGTGTTCCTAAATTGTGATTGCTGACTGATCCAACTCCTTCTCTAGATACCTCTTATAAATAGAAAGACATTTTGCCCTGGCCAGGTGGCTCAGTGGGTTGGAGCGTCATCTCATAAAACAAAAGGTTGTTAGTTATATTCTTGGTCAGGCACATACCAAGGTTGTGGGTTTATCCCCCAGTCAGGGTGCATATGGGAGGAAGGCAACCAATGTTTCTCTCTAACATTGATGTTTCTCTCTCTCCCTCCTCTCACTTCCCCTCTCTCTAAAAATTAGTAAACATATCTTCAGATAAGGATTAATTTTAAAAAATAGATATTTTACTCACTTTTGTGTTTCACACCAGCATAAGGCAGGCACAGAGTAAGGGATCATTAGCATGTTTGTTGAATAAATGCACGTTTTTCTTTCATAGCACACAATAACAGTACTATTCCCTGTCTATGCATCTATCTCATCACTAGTCTATGAGTTCCTAGAGGATGAAAACTATGCCTCATTCATCTTCGTGTCACCAGGCCCTGGCACCATGCTAGATACATAAAAATGACTTGGTAATATTTGATGGATGGGTGAGCTGGGATCAACTTGGAGTGTAATCCATTAAATACTCGTAAGCTGAGACGTCTTAAGCTAGGTTGAGGTTCTTAGACGCTAGAGAGAACAAGTTGCATATGAGATAGAGAAACAATTTAGGGTTAGAATAAAGGTAGAGCAGATGTGTGAAACAAATACAAAATCTGTTTTCTCTTTGCTGGTCTTGGGGAGAGAGAAACAGAGACCGCGGCTAACTTAATATTATCTGTAAAGAAAAGGTCTCGTGAATTTTTTAAAAAATGATTTAAATAACACTAGCCAGATGACTCAGCTGGTTGGAGCGTCATCCCATACACAGAAAAGGTTGCAGGTTTCATCTCCAGTCAGGGCACTTACCTGTGTTGTGGGTTCGATCCCTGGTTGGGGTGCATACAAGAGGCAACCGACCATTGTTTCTCACATTGATGTTTCCCTCTCTCTTTCTCTCTCCCTTCTTCTCTCTCTAAAATTGATAAAAATATATCCTCATGTGAGGATTAAAAAAATAATAAATAAGTAAATAAATGCAATCAATGAAATTTCATTTAAAAATAAAGCATTCAACAGCCCACTCACTTGGAGCTCTATTTTCTCATTGACTATCTATGTGTTTCCCTGTGCACCAGCTTAATGTTTCCCTCACAGCTTATCCTGGCTGATGGAAGAGCATCTGTTTACGTGTGCAGTTTTGCACTTTTCACAATAGGCTGGGGGAACTCATGTGATTCTTACCATAACCCCACAGGAAACTGAGTCTCAGGGATTAAGGAATTTTTTCAAGGTTAATACTTTGAATTTCTCCAGGCCTACTTACCTGTGTGTATAGATAGGATCATAGTCATGAAAGTAACAAAGATATCACTAGCTCTTGAACCTACCACTGAAAGTTGAACTTCAGCTGTTGGCAAATTTTACTTTTGAGAGCCTCAGGACAGGTTACAATGGTTCTCAGAAAAGCAAACTGTGGAAGATTCTTACACTAAAGGCCCCCAAAGAA